AGAAAATTGTAAATTAATATTGTATTTCCATGGTTAAGTTGAAAAACACCCACGGGTGACACTTCGCCACTTTATCTTTGTCGAATACCTATTATTGTTATCTCTTTACATATGTGTCCAAAGATGAATAAAGACGATTTATTATTATTATATCACTCTGGATGGTTTGAAACCAGTTCATCATGAAAAATCAACACTACAAATAAAAATGAGCGACAATTTAGCGTGGGAAAAAGAGTTCTAGCAAGGTATTAAACCAGTAGGTTATAAACCGTTATGGAAGTCAGAGGAATTTATTAAGAAACTTAGGTTTCTGCACTATCACTATCAAGTGAAACTTAATGATGGATACATTTTGAAAAGACATATTGATCAGACAAGGGTCACCAATTTGCCCAAAAGTAAATTCTTCTTTTTTGCGCCCGAAGTAGAAGTTACTTATCGAGATCAATCTAAACAGCCTAATATAACTGATATGGTGACGATTTCAGTGCAAGATAAACAGGCTAATCAACCCGATAATATTCAAAATGAGGTGTCTGAACCAGATCAAGTTGAAGTACCTGATGATCAAACACCTCACGAGAGTTGAGATGTGAAAGAATGTGATTTAATAAGCCTTTAAAATCTGTTTTTACGTTAACCAGCTGTCGCACCCCTACGAACGACAACCCTTAGAAGTCGAAACTTGTTCAAGTTAAGGATTACCGAGGTCTTACCTTTTAACGTGTGATTCCTAACACGGGTTGGACGATAGCAAGTGAAAATCGATCGTTCAGACTAGGGCGTGAACCACCGACCAACACGGCAGTCAATTCGAGTGAGTGAACAAAGCACCCACGTCGAACCGCCTGGCTACCTGACTATATGTATTACATATATTTATGAATTTGGGACACTCTTCATATTCGTTAATCTGGGAGTTGTCAAAAAAAATTTCAATTAATGAACACGAAAAAAACATCATATTCATTTAGAAAGTGTAATTGATACATAAATCAAATCAAATACTATTCATTCACAACAGTGACGTACCGGCCAATTCAATTCATATTGTCATGTCTAACCTCAGAGTAATAATAAGACATAGAGTTGCCATGCCTGTACGGTGCCTTTACCAATACATGTGTTTTGAAGCGGGTATCGTACTATCCTTTTCTGTACAACTTATTGGTGTGGTGGGTGGCGGGTAATGAGAGGTTATGGAGAGTTTGTTTACATTTGAAGTAAGTGGGACCATAAGACAGTGGCGGTTGGTTTAGTTGATAATCGGAGGGATATTATATATTTATAAAATAAATCATTTCAGGTGAAAACGTACTCTGTTCAAATAGTTCCTA